TTTAAGTGCTTCGTTCTCATCAAGTACGAAGTGTAGGGTTTTATAATTACTTTTGAAGTGGGAAAAATTATTCAAAATAGGTTATTTCAACAAAAAGTAGCGATTGACCATCGCTTTTTTCAAACTATAAACAATGAATGTTGAAATAATAAAAGAAATTGTAATTATTGTTACTTTTTTTCTGGTTTATGTTTAAACCTGGTTTCGTTTGACCTCATGTCAAGCGTGTTTTTGTCATTTATGAAGCGATCTGCACTTCACTCATACCTACACTCACACTAAAATGTTAGTATAATATTCTATAAGGGTTTGGAAATAAATTGTATTTGAAGTTTTGTGTGACTTTTACATATTATCTTGATCATCATCATAACTTTAATATTTTATTTAATATTTTTATTTCGTATAAGAAATGTAATTCAAAAGTATTAAGAGTTGCGGCTCGGAGAAATAATTATTTACACAATTATATATAAATGTTCAAGCTATTTCTGATTTAATGTCTAGGCGTGAAGATGTCGTTTGATGTCATTTAAATGTAAAATGTACGTAAGTTTCATATTTTTATGTGTCCATAAAAAGACGCGATTTATTTTACTATTCAAACTACGACCAGTGAAAATTTTTGTTACAATTTTTTTCATACAATACTATAAAACATTTAATGTAATATATCTATGTGAAAGAGTTGACCGGAACTTACTGGAGAATATATTTTAATAATTTTAAATATTTATAAAATCACAATAAAAGAGGCAAACTTTAGTTTTAAACTTTTAATATTGCTTTTATTATTTATGTTAAATACCTTACTATAATTTGATTTTATAAATATAAAAATTAATAAAATATTTGGTGTTTTTAAACAGTACACCATACGTCTAAATATATGTTAAGCTTCTATTACACAATTTTTTACTATCATTTTTACTACCATACCATATTGCCCCCCAATCTATAAACATAAATCATTCGTTTATGGACTATAAAATTGTTGTAATAGACGGGCAGGTATGGCTGAAACTGTAGTCCAGTTGAGTCCCCAGACTTAATTTTGAATACGTATTAAAATTTCATCACGCATGTATTCAATTATTAGAAAAAGAACAAAAATAGATGTCCAAGACCTTTTTAGATATGGTCAAGATATCAAACTTGAAATCTGCTTTTGAAAAAATGTAATAATTTTATTTCAGGTCTCAATAGTAACGAAATGTTGGTGAGTGTCTTAACCTACTGTTACGTACAGTTTTCTCTTTCGTGGAAGTCGCGTTTGAGATACCAGCAGTTAATCTGTTTCTTCTTAAGTGTTAGTAGACTTTGACATTTTTTTTAAACTTATCTCTTCGTTATTAGTCTTATTTTTCATGGAAATCGTACTTTTGAAATCAGCAGTTAATTAGTCTCTTCTTTATTGTAAGTTGTACTTCCGATACCATTACTCATAAGTTACTTTCGGGTTGATAAGGGTTACCTAAACTTGTATTTCGTGGAAATCATCTTTACGTCACTAAAAATTAATTCGTCTTTTCTTTAGTGGAAGTTCCGACACCATTACCCATAAGTTACCTATACGTTACTAGGGGTTACTTAAATTTGTATTTTCTCAAAATCGTCTTTACGCCACCAGTAGTTAATTCGTCTCTACCTTTAAGTTGATAGGAGTTACACCATCTCGTCTTTCGTAAGACCTCTAGTTGTATCTTTTTTAGTCGAAATCGTTCTAATAATGCTAATAGAACTTATAGAAGATAATATACCCTTATCTTTTAGTTACTCGCAGTTGCCTCATTTTCTTTTTTGTGGAAGTCATAATTTTGACACAATTCAATTCCTTTCTGTTGGAAGTTGTGACAACAAAACTGCATTATTCTCCCAATAATTAGGGATGAAAAATAATTTTCAATAACTTTATTATACTGTAAATCGTCATATCAACAAATTTCTTCTTATTAGTATCATGTAAGCTAATTTAGATACTTAAATTATTTATATATTTTTTGCTATAATAAAATAAAATTAAATTGCAAAACTTCTACACTTTGTGTACAAAATAAAGGTTGCTAATATCATCTAACGACTCAGTAAGTGTCATTATGAGAGATTTAGGAGGATTGTAATAGGTACAACAAATTTTTAAATATTTTTTTTTTATTTTATTTAAATTTAAGTAAATATTAATTATAAGCATTTTTATTTTTAATTCATTTCGTGCGTTTAAAAAGATATGTAAGGTCTTTAAAATATATAAATTTATTCTCATCTTCATTCGTTTCATTAAGCATACAAGTACCAAGATGAGGGTACCAGCATTTCATATATTTAAAATATTTTTTTTTATAGATATTTAAAAGATTAACATACACAATTATGCTATTAGTTTGATTTTAACAAAGTGAAATATACTCGTAACGAAATAATTCATTAACATTTTTTTTAGTTTTTTTACAGCTTCAAATGAATTATTACTATTATTATTTTTTGCTGGAAAAATACGTAAAATGCAATGTTAAAGATAAAATATGTTAAATTGAATATAATTACCTCTTCTTTAAATAAATTACTATTTCACACTTTGGACTTAGGTTAAGTAAAAGACTTAGTAATTTGTTATCCGGATTGGTATGAAAAATAATAAGCAGTTGCGAGAATCTTCAACATTTTGCTTGAATTAATAAATTATTTAATAACATTTCATTTTGTTTTTGAGCAATTTTTGCCAGTTAATTTGTTGAAAAAATAAGTTGTTAAGCCAATGTAATCGCTTCTGTGTTGCTTTATACCATCAACACTAAAACTTTGAAGTTGAATGAAGAAGAGAAGACGAGAGATCAGCATCAATTGTGGAGATTAATCATTGCTGATTACTTCGTAAAATATAAGTGGAATTTTAAATTATGTTTTGACTTTAGGCCTTAAAGTAGCCTAAGCGGCCTAAGCAGCCTAAGTAGCTCTCGCATAACTTCTTAACCGATATTTAAAGATAATACGAAAATAAAAGTATTAAATTATATATAAATTTTTTTTTTTTTTTTGAAAATCTTTTTATGTAAACTGGAAGTTATAAATTAATCGCTTTTATATTTATGTTTCTTTAACTATTTTGGCAGAAGCATTTTATAAAAGGAACGTGCTTCAACAATAAAAACAATGAAATTGTTTGAATACATCAATTTTATAAATTTGCATAATTAAAATAAGAAGAAGAAAAAACCTAAAAGCCTTAAAGATATTGACATTTTATTGAAAACTTCAAAGAAATTATCTGAAACTCACAGATGTTCGATTGGTGTGACGGCGGCTGTTTGTTTTGTGTTTTTTTTTTTTTGGAAATACTGAGCCAGGGTGAAGATCACTTCCAATTAGTAATCAATTTTTAACGCCACGATTACAAGCACAAAATTTGATTATGTTGAATATTTTTTAATTAATGTTCAAAAACATTTTTATTTCTGTTAATTTCGATTTGATAGTATAATCATAAAAAAACTATCAGATTTTATTTTTGTAATTATATTTAAATACTTTTTGTTCAATTGATTGTACAATGAATCACTGAATATGATCAAAACTCAACAAAATTATTATTTGAATGCTATCAAGATCACTAATTATAATTATAAGAAGATTTCCGATTTGAACCTATTTGAAAACTTCTCCTTAAAATGTTTGTTTTACTAACTTCAGTAGGGCTAATGGTGTGTCTATAAGTTCATTTATAAAAAATATTAATAAAAAAGTATTGTTATTTTTAAATTAATAATATAAAAATTCTTTTTAAAAAAATGTCCTAAATAATGTCTCTATAAAAAATAATAGTATTAAAATTTAACAAATGAATAACTATAATTAATTAATTTAATTTTTCTATAGCTTGTTAATGATTTCGTTCTAATAACACACTGGAAGTGAATCTGGTAATGAACTTTCACAGTAAATTAAGAAAACTCCAAATTAGAGCAATAGAAGTCAAGTACGGTTTCGGGTCAGTTGTTTAATTAACACCGACTCTGAGCTTCAAATTTAAGAATGTACAAATGTAATCATTGGTACTTGCAGTAACAAAAATGATCTACAAATTAAGCAATATAAGAGGTATTAGAAAATAAAAGACCACTGATGATGGGTATTTAAGTTAGGTTGGAATGAAGCTCAAATAATGATCCATTGAGCTCAAATAATGATCCATTGTAGTACCGCAGTGTACCACTAATTAACACCGATTCTGAGTTTCAAATTTGACAATGTATGTTATAAGTACAATTCTTGGTGCTTGCAGTATTGTAATCTAAAAAATATTAGAAAATAAAAGACCACTGATGATGGGTATTTAAGTTAGGTTGGAGTGAAGGCCTTGTGCTCAAAGCCTACGTTAGCTCAAATAATCGCCCGTTTTAGTACTACAATGTAGCACAAATTAACATCGATTCTGAGCTTTGTTCTGATGTATTCTGAATATTGTTATATAGGAAAAATGACAAAATAAAGGACCACTGATGATGGGTAATTAGGTTAGGTTACTCAAAACAGCTGTTAAATACTCAAAACAGCTGTATGATAGGCTAAAATTTTAATTAATAAAAATAAAAATTTTATTGATAAAAAAATTTAATTTTTTGTTTGATACCATAAATCGTTACTATATACAATTCGTCATATTTTTTTACTTATTTATATAAGCACCCTGTATATCTGTCTGGTGGCGCTATAATTGCTGAAGAACAAAGCTTTAGTTGATCGTAAAAATCTAATTTATTGCGCTAAAACTAAAGAAAAAAAAATTAATTTAAAATAAAATCAAAGTATCTTGTCTTTGTATTTTTTTTATAAACATGATTTTAGATACAAATTATTAAAGCGTGTGAATTTTTGTTATCTACAGATGGTGATCTTTGAATGGTAAAATATTTTAATTAAGTTTTGGGGGTTTGTAGCAGAAATTCTGCGTTCAGTCCGAATGTATTATGTACACCAACTATAACCTTTAAACTATTGCTGTTTCTTTTGAAATGTTTCATTCTCTATTTTGTGAAATTAATTAATATTCTGCCCGAAACGTGTGGGAAATATTTGGAAATTCAATGACTATCAAAAACAACTTCTAACAACATAAAGTAAAAAATTACTCATTGCTATTTTCGATTCTTAAGAAAATTTAGAGTAAATATATTATATGTTATTTAAAATAGCTGAAGTGAGCCAGCATTTAATGGTACATAATTTGTAGGTGTTTTTTAATTTCATAAACAATATTACTTTTTTTCAATTTAATTTTAAGGCTTAATGTTAAACAAAATATTTTTAAAAAATAATTTAAAAAATATTTTCTTGAATATTGACTTAGAATTTAAATTATATTTTAGTTAAATTCTTGTTAAAAAAACTAACTTCGAAACAGATCTTATGTTTTTGTTAAAGGAGCTCTTAAGAATGCAGCTTCAAGCGCCTTTTAAGTTCGTATAGAAAATATTGGCGTCCTATATGATTATTACTAAAAATCTACATAACAGTCTTTCTACATCTGCTAATGGTTAGTATAAATAAATCTATGAGTGACATACGACCAGCCCAATTAACGTAACCTATATTCTATAAATCAAATCAAATTAGGTGTTGATTATCTGGGTATCGGGACATACTGTCGCACACAGAAACGAATACGCAGATAAACTAGCTAGAAAAGGAGCAGCCACCTCTATGGTGTGGTTGGAACCATTCTGTAGATTAGAACATAGTACCCTCCTTTCTCTCATAAAAATGAACAAAAAAGATTACTGAGATGATCTACGAGGTTTAAAAAAATCCAATGCACTTATTGGCAGCTATAACAATAGGAAATACCAGAATTGTATGGACTAATCAAAAGAAAAACTTAACTGGACACTGTAAATTGAAATACCATCTAACGAGACTGGGCATAATATACATATATAAGGATGCAAAGAGTATGAAGAGTCAGCCACACATTTGCTGTTAAAATAGACTCTTGGGAATATGTACCCTTGCGGTAGAGCCAATTAAACTGTGTAAAGTAAGTTCTATATTACTCTTAATTGAAGACAAACGTTATGTCTTGAAGGGGGCACAGTTGACCCGAAGGTCAAAGTGCTTTATCCCATACCAATTATATAAATCAATAAAATATGTGGCTAAAAATTATATTTAATAAAATTGTGTATGTAGCAGATATTGCCGCATGATATGAGTTTATTTATCTATTTAAAGAGTGTTTCATTAGTTGGTAATTTTTTAGTTAAGTTCAAATATTATTTACGAACAATTAAATCAATAAATATTTTCAAAGATCACTGATGGTGGATATTTAATAATAT